AGCCGAGCGGCGTCCGGGTGGAAAGAAAGTCGGCGAGGATTTCTTGACGGAAAAGCTGCAGAGACGAGGCTCCGGCTCCAAGTGTTTCCCAAGGCCTTAGAGGGAAAGAGAAGAGAGAGAGCCAGTTTCTATGGTAACGGAAGGAGCAAGATGGAGGAGAGAGATGCTGAGAAGGAGCCTTCCCTTCAACTGCTAAGGAATCACCTGGGCTGCTTCAGGTCCAGTTCGCCCTCCTTCCCTCCTTCCCTCCCGCCTCCTCTTCGCTGCCCTTAAATCCTGAGATTATCTCACCTCCCTATGAATATTCAAAAGCGGAGACCTCGGAGCAGCCTGTTCCTGCCAGGGGTGCCTTGCCAAATATATATGAAATAGGGGAAAGGAATTTGGAAAGCGTGAACCGAAGCCCCGAATCCTGGTTTGATGCAGAGGCTTCCCTCGAAGAGAGCAAGATCGGCTTCTGCTTTGACTCCTCCGGATGGGTCAGAGATGCCCCGGTCACACAGGTTTCAGTCCAGTCCAGATTTCAGTCCATCAAACTCAGGGGGGGGGTGCCTACGAGGGTCTCTCTGGTGGATCTCGGTCACGAGGACGACCGGCCGTCTCGCTTTCCTGGTGTCCTCGGGGAAGGGAGCGCCATGTTTTATATTTTTCCCCTCTTTTCTGGGGGGGAGAAAAGTGGAAGGATCAGCTCTGCGGGGGGATTCTTCTCTGGCCGCGAGGGCAGCTAAAAGGCACCCGGGAGAGGGAGAGAATTAGAGAAATAACAGAGCTGGAAGGGACCTTGGAGGTCTTCTAGTCCAGCCTCGGATCCATCTCAGACAAGGGACTCTCCAGCCTCTTAAACGCCTCCAGTGATGAAACGCCCACAACTTCGGGTGGCAGGCCGTTCCACCGGTTCATTGTCCTCCCTGTTAAGACGGTTGGGAGGGGGCCCTCTCCTGAGGGGGCTTTTATCTAGGGGGGGAGGGCTTAGCATCCTCCCCCAATTCCCCACCAGCTGCTTCCTTGGGCTGTTTTGAGAGATCGGCCTCCCAACTGCCTCGGTAGACCCCTGCCTGCCGGTCTGGGCAGAGCGGAGAGGCAGGGGCGGGGGATGGGTGGGCTTGGTCAATGCTGTCCCACCCCCCACCCCCCCCACGCCAAGGGAAACTTTCTGCAGGGCGGTGGGCTTGGCAGCGCAGAGGAGAGCCGAGCCAGCGCGCAGGAGGAGCCAGCTGGTGTGGAGAGAACCAGCCCCAGGGCTTCTTTGCCTTTTTTTCCCCCCTCCTCCCTTTCTGGACCTGCAGTGGGCAGCTGCCTGCCTCTGCCAGGCGGGCACCCCAGGCAGACGCGCGCACACAACCACCGTCCCCCCGGCTGGCTGCGAGAGGTCGCCTTTGTCCTCCTCGGAGCAGCGGCAGGTAGGCGGAAGAGGAGGAGGAGGAGGAGGAGGAGGGGGGGCGATCTCCAGAGCATCCCTCCTCCAGATCCTGGGAAGCGGGTGGGCAGCTGCCCCCCCTCTCCTCTCCTCTCCCCCTCTCCTGCAGTGTTGGGGGCGGGGAGGCCGCCTGGCGCATCCGGGGAGGAAAGGGGGGGGAGGAGGAAGGGAGGGATGCTGTAAAAAGGCCCCTTCTTTCTTCCTCCCTCTGCTTCCAGGAGGAACCGCCCCCACGTGGCTCCACCGGCTTTCCTCCCCTCCCTTCCCTTCCCTCCCCCCTCCCTAACCTTCCAGCCAGCCTCCTCCTCCTCCTCCTCCTCTTCCAGCCGGGAGAGCAGTACAGCAGTAGCAGCAGCAGCAGCAGCAGCGCACCTCTGCTCCCCCCCCAGTGGCAGCCCCGCCGCCTGCTGCCAACCAGCCAGCCAGCCCAGCTGGAGGAGGGGGCGGTGGCTGCCGGCAGTAGCAGCGGCGGTAGCAGCGGCGAGCCAAGAGGGAGCATTGCGGACAATGCCCGGGTGGCCGCCACACTCCTCCTCGCCTTCCCCCGAGGAGCAACCGCAGCAGCCGTCACGCACGCAGGAGCTGCCGCAATGACAGCCGGTGCAGCAGCCGGGCAGCGGCCGCCGGCGTGAGGGGGGCCGTGGGCGCCATTGCAAGATGAACGCCTCCTCCCTGGATGGCGGCAGCCCCGGGAATGGGAGTGGAGGCGGCGGGAGCGGCGGGGACAGCATCGGGAGGCCCTTTTGCCTGCTGGCCACCGGCTACCCAGAGAGCCTGGACATCTGCCTGCTGGAGGTGACCATCGTCGTCTTCCTCACGGTCCTCATCATCTCGGGCAACTTGGTGGTCATCTTCGTCTTCCACTGCGCGCCGCTGCTCAACCACCACACCACCAGCTACTTCATCCAGACCATGGCCTATGCCGACCTGCTGGTGGGGGTGAGCTGCCTGGTGCCCTCGCTCTCTCTGCTGCACCACCCCGTGGCCTTCCTGCCCGAGGCCCTGGTCTGCAAGGTCTTCGGCTACGTGGTCTCGGTGCTGAAGAGCGTCTCCATGACCTCGCTGGCCTGCATCAGCCTGGACCGCTACATCGCCATCACCAAGCCCCTCAGCTACGGCACGCTGGTCACCCCCTGCCGCCTGCGCGCCTGCATCCTCCTCCTCTGGCTCTACTCGGGCGCCGTCTTCCTGCCGGCTTTCTTCGAGTGGGGGAAGCCCGGCTACCACGGGGACATCTTCCGGTGGTGCGCCGACTTCTGGGACACCCGGGCCGCCTTCACCCTCTTCATCGTGGTCATGCTGTACGCGCCGGCCGCCTTGGTGGTCTGCTTCACCTACTTCAGCATCTTCCGCATCTGCCAGCAGCACACGCGGGAGATCAACGACCGGCGCGTGCGCTTCAGCTCCCAGGAAGGGGAGCCGTCCGAGGGGCAGCCGTGCCCGGACAAGCGCTACGCCATGGTCCTCCTGCGCATCACCAGCGTCTTCTACATCCTCTGGCTCCCCTACATCGTCTACTTCCTCCTGGAAAGCTCCTCGGTCTACCACAACCGCCTGGCTGCTTTCTTCACCACCTGGCTGGCCATCAGCAACAGTTTCTGCAACTGCATCATCTACAGCTTGTCCAACAGTGTCTTTCAAAAGGGGTTGAAGCATCTCTCGGGCGCCCTGTGCGTGCCCTGCGCCCGGCACAGGGCAGCCAAGGACTCCTCCGCCTCCCGCAGCAAAAGACCCTCCAACGGCTGCCACGCCTGACGCGCCTTCCCTCCCCCTTTCCCCCTCTGTCCGAACTCAGGACCTTCCAGATGTGCAAAAAGAGAGAGAGAGAGACAGAGAGAGACTTCGCCATCCCCTGGCGCAGAAAACAAACGTTCCCAATCTCGGACAAAAAAGGGGGGATTTTTGAGGATTTCCACCAGCACGGGCTGCTGGGTTGTTTTTTTGGGGGGTGAGGGTGGGTGGGAGCAGGAAACCAGGGACCAGGGAGGGGGAGGGATAGAGGGAGGGAGGGTCTCTTCCCCCGGAGTGACTCAACGGATGGACCCTCCAGGACCCGCCTCACCTCTTTTGCCCCGATGTTTGGAAGTCTGTGCTCTTTTGTCTCTGTGTGCAAGGAGTCGTGGTTTACTAGTGTATTCTTTCGATTTGGTTTTGTGCATATGCCAAAGTATGTTTCGAAATCTTATGGGTCCAAATAGCAATTGTCCCTCTCTACCCCCCCCACCCACCCTCCTCACTCCATCTCCCCCCC